CATGGTGGTTGCTTTCAGAGTCCTGAGTCTGGCTGGGGGACGGGAACTTCTCTCCTTCCTACAGACTCATCTGGGCTCCTGTCTGCATCATCCCTCACACAGAGAGAAATCTTCTCATTTCTGCAGAGACCTTGGGCTCTGGAATCCCTTCCGGGTGAGTCACACTGACTATATAGGAGAAGGTCAGAGAGAAGGAAAGGGAAGAACACTGCTCTGAGATACCTGTGAGACCATCCATTTTGTTCCAGATCCCTGAGATCATTTTCTTAGTATGGCTTGATTCATTATATACTGCTTATGATGACTCAAAGAGAAGTAGTTATTGAACAAATCAGGCAGGTGTCAAAGGGTATAGTATTAATTGGAGAAAAATTAGAAGAATTCTCCAGACAAGATATGCTTTCAGAGTTTTAATCTTGTGTTTTGGTTTCCGTGCTCATGTTATCAAATGAAAAGTTTTAAATGACATTAAACAAAGCTTGAGAGATATTAGTTGAAATAGAAACATCCCTGAAGAATGAATTCCTATTTCTTTTTTTTTTATGTAGGAGTACTGCTATTTATTCAGCCACTGATTAGCTGATTAAATTGGGCATGAACTCCACCTTACTATTTTTTTCTTCATAATTTAATTGATTTAGTTTTTCTTCTTATATTTATTTATTGAATCACTGTGGGAAAAGTTACAAAGCTTTCAGGTTTAAGTCTTGGTCATACAATGATTAAACACCTTTCCCTTCACCAGTACTCATTTTTCACCGCCAAGAACCCCAATATACCTTCCTCTCATCCCTCCCAATGCCTGTGAGGCAGATGATTTCTACTTTTCTATACATTGATTACATTCATTATTTTGACAAAAGATGCACCATTATTGTATAGAATATCCCCCCCCAACAATCAGAATTACTGAAAAGGCATTATGAAACACTTTGTTTTCTATAGCTGGTTATGAGAATCATATAATGATTTTGGATTTCTGCAAAGAGCCAATAATTATGAGATTGGTTTCTGGGCATCTGGTGTTATGGCTGTGCCAGAGATCCACTCGTGGGGGGCAACTCGTGACCTAGGTAGGGCGTGAATGATGAGCCAGTACCATCCCCCTTCCCATGAGACTGCAGTTCTCCCATCACTGCTGGCTCATACCTGGCTTCCTTATAAGCTCTGAGGCAGCGGCCACCTTGTATGCGGTCCAGAAGCCAAAAAGCCAAAAGCCGCTGGGTTTCGAGATTTGTTTCTGAGTCTCTGGGATCATTGCCGTTAATCAGCTTGATAAGGAGCCAGAGAGGCCATTTGTAGGTGGCAACTCGGGGTCTCATTGGGATGAGGAGGAAAGGGCTGGTTCCACCCCCATCTTGTGAGGCTCCACATGTCTCATCACTGCAGGCCCAAACCTGACTGTCCAGGGGCCTTTGGAGGATGGTGGTCACCGGGCCGCCAGGGGGAACAGGCCAAGGCACGGAACCTATTCCCACCTGGAGTGGCCCAGTGCCAGTAACCTACTGCAGGAACAGGACACATTTCTGCCAAAAGCCTTTGGGTTCTGAGATTCGTTTCTGAGTCTCTGGGATCATGGCCGTTAAGCAGTTCGATCAGGAACTAGAGAGACCATGCTTCCAATTATATAGCTGAGCCGGATGTGGTTTGTTAGTGTGTCTCCCACATACCTAACTTTTGGCCATTTACTTTCTTGGTAAACTTTGCCCCAAGTTTTTGGGGTCTGGCCAAAGGCAGCAGCAATTTGGGAGTATCTGCAAGTCTGACTGTGCCATCAGGCTGCTGATGCACTTGCCTCACAGGTACAAATTGACCTGCTGGTGGCACCATAGCCTCAGAATTCCTATTTCTTAATATAACTATTTTCATGTCATGTATTCTCCTTGATGATTTTCTTCCTTTTAGAGCCAAAATGGAGCACAAACATTTTAAGAGCATTTAATTTCAGTCTATATATATTCTTCATTTGAAATTGATTTCCATTTTTGTGCTATTAAAATAAATGTACTATTCCCAGAGTGTTAAAAAAATTCTCCAGACATAGGGATGTGGGGAAAGCTCATGGAAAATTTGGTGGCAAAAGTGGGCAGGATCTTTGTATACCGATACCAAGACTTTGAACACAATTATAACCCTAATACAGATATGATGATCAAAATATATTAATATGAAAAATAAAATGAAATAAAAATATAATTCTCCAGTAAATATAGGACAAAATCTCTTATCTTGCAATTAAGAGAGGTGTCAAAACTGCATTTTTTGAAAGGATGTAGCATGGACTTTGCTTGTTGATGAGAAAAACACCAGTGAAAAAAATGCTTGAAAATGTTATCTTGCAACTGCAATGGGGTCTGCTCAAACTGGTATCTGTATGAAAGAAAATTATGCACTGCATAAAAATAGGCTCTGATAATGAGCTTTGGGTTCTAATCATTTCATTTTCTGTGTGGATGAGCATTTTTTTCTTTTTGGGTCACATCCGGCAATACTCAGGGGTTACTCCTAGCTCTGCAAACAGGAATCACTTCTGGCAGTGCTCGGGGAACCATATAGGATGCCAGGGATTGAATCCAGGTTTGCCGTGTGCAAGGCAAATTCCCTGCCTGCTGTGCTATCGCTACAGCCCTGGATGAGCATATTTGTGGTGTGACAAACATTGTTTAGCATTGTGAACTGTCTATCCAAGCCCTTAGCTCTGGCGTGGTCAGGTCACAGTGATTTTGTTTCTGTTCTTCATTGCATTAAATCAAAAGCTAATAATAGACTTTTGCCATCTGACTATATTCCATTTAATTTGTTTACCACATATATTGGGCTGGAGTGATAGCACAGTGGGTAGTGCATTTGCCTTGCATGCAGCCAACATGGCTGACCCGAGTTCGATTCCTCCGCCCCTCTCGGAGAGCCCGGCAAGCTACCGAGAGTATCTCGCCTGCACGGCAAAGCCTGGCAAGCTACCAGTGATGTATTTGATATGCCAAACACAGTAACAAAAAAGTCTCGCGATGGAGACATTACTGGGCCTGCTCGAGAAAATCAATGAACAACGGGAGGACAGTGACAGTGACCACATATATTAAGAATATATAAAGTGTATGAATTAATGCGGTCAGTACTGTCAAATATTAATAGCAGAATTCAGTCTGCTTTGTCTTATTTCTTAGATGAAAGATTAACCTATCATTTTGTGATACTTCTGTGGTAATAAGGGAGGATATATATATATATATGTATATATATACACACACATATATGTTAAGCAAAGATTTTTGTAATAAAAGTTAGACATTGTTCTGTAATACACACACAATTAAGTTAAATCAAGGTGTTTGTAGAGAAAATTTTGTGGGCCAGAGAGATAGTACAGGAGTTAATCTGCTTGCCTTACATGCAGTTGATCTTAGTTTGATCTCTGGGACCACACAGGGTCTCCTGAAACCTCCAGGAGTGATCCTGAACACAGAGCCAAAAGTAAGCAGCCTGAGTACAGCTGGGTGTGGTCCCAAAAGAAAAAAGATAGCTAACATTTTATTTTGTGTTTGTGTGGGAGAGCTTGAGTATGTAAGTATGTATAAGTAAATGTGTATATATATGGTGAGTGAGAGTATGTGTGAGTGTATGGTGTGTGTGAGAGAGAGAAGAGAAGAGAAGAGAAGAGGAGAGGAGAGGAGAGGAGAGGAGAGGAGAGGAGAGGAGAGGAGAGGAGAGGAGAGGAGAGGAGAGGAGAGGAGAGGAGAGGAGAGGAGAGGAGAGGAGAGGAGAGGAGAAGAGAAGAGAAGAGAAGAGAAGAGAAGAGAAGAGAAGAGAAGAGAAGAGAAGAGAAGAGAAGAGAAGAGAAGAGAAGAGAAGAGAAGAGAAGAGAAGAGAAGAGAAGAAAGTGTCTGTTTGGGCCACACCTGACAAATTGCTCAGAAGTTGCTGCCGAGATGTGGTACTGAAATTGAGAGTTCCCACATGTAAATTATGTGCTCCGGGGCTGGACTGATAGTAAAGCATGTAAGGCACTTGTCTTGCAAACTGGGTTCACTCCCTGGCAGCCCTATGGTTCGCCCAGCCACACCAGGAGTGATTTCTGACTGCAGAGCAGGAGTCACCCCAAGCAAACTAAGGAAGAAAGAAAAAAATAAAGTAAGAGGAAGGAAGGAAGGAAGGAAGGAAGGAAGGGAGGGAGGGAGGGAGGGAGGGAGGGAGGGAGGGAGGGAGGGAGGAAAAGGAAAGAAAGAAAAAAGAAAGGAAGAAAGGAAGGGGAAAGAAAAAAGAAAGAAAGATAAAGAAAGGAAAGAAAGAGAAAGAAAGAAAGAAAGAAAGAAAGAAAGAAAGAAAGAAAGAAAGAAAGAAAGAAAGAAAGGAAGGAAAGAAAGAAGGAAAGAAAGAAGGAAGGAAGGAAGGAAGGAAGGAAGGAAGGAAGGAAGGAAGGAAGGAAGGAGAAAGGGAAAGGGAAAGGGAAAGGGAAAGGGAAAGGAAAGGAAAGGAAAGGAAAGGAAAGGAAAGGAAAGGAAAGGAAAGGAAAGGAAAGAAGGAAGGAAGTACTCCAGTCCTTTCGGCCATGTTCCCCACCCACAGAGAGCACATTTTCATAAGGGATCACAAACATTAATACGGTGCTAGATTGTAAGAGTCAAGTCTATGAAAATTGTAAATATACCAATCCAATAAAATACTTTGCATGGTGAATTGAAAAGTACTTCAGAGCAGGAATGACTATTTTCTCTAGCAGACACTGAACAATTTTCACGGACATTTTAGCTGCAACAAAAGAGCAGGAATGGTGGAGATCATGGGTGCTCTGAATGTTCTGGAAGGCACAGACAAATCTCACACAAAGAGTGTCAACAGTGCAAGAGTTAAGGGGGAGGAGTGTTTCTGTAGTATAAATATTTATAGCATTTGTCAATCAGTCTTGAAATCCCATGCTCCTTGATCCAAGCCCAAAATAATGACATTTTGTGTAATAATCATATTGTTTTTAACTCAGTCTTTATAGCTCACGCCATCACATGGAACCAGAAAATATTACTGGAATTATAGAATTTCTAATTCTAGGATTGTCCGAGGAACAAGAACTGCAGTCCTTGATTTTTTGCCTTTTCCTGTCCATGTACCTGATCACCGTGCTGGAGAACCTGCTCATTATCCTGGCCGTCAGCTCAGACCCCCACCTCCACACGCCCATGTACTTCATTTCTAACCTGGCCTTCATGGACATCTGCTTGACCTCTACTAACATCCCCAAGATGCTGGTGAACATACAGGCCCAGAGCAAAGCCATCACCTATGAAGGCTGCATCACCCAGATGTATTTTTTCATCCTCTTTGCAGGCCTGGACAATATCCTCCTGGCGGTGATGGCCTATGACTGCTATGTGGCCATTTGCCACCCTTTGCACTACATGGTCATCATGAATCCCCACCTCTGTGGGCTGCTGGTTCTGGGGTCCTGGGTCACCATTGCCCTGAATTCCTTATTAGAAGTCTCCATGGTTTTACGCCTGTCCTTCTGTACAGATGTGAAAATCCCTCATTATTTCTGCAAACTCAATCAGGTGATCCAACTTGCCTGTTCAGACACCGTTCCTAATGATTTGGTGATATTGTTTACAGCCGTGTTCCTGGGGGGCGGCCCCCTGACTGGGATCCTTTACTCTTACTCCAAGATCATCTCCTCCATACGGAGAATCTCTTCCGCTCAGGGGAAGTTTAAGGCATTTTCCACCTGCACGTCTCACCTCGCCGTGGTCTCCCTGTTCTACTGTACCATCCTAGGGGTGTATCTGAGCGCCGCCGTGTCTCAGAACTCCCATTCAACTGCCATCGCCTCAATAATGTACACAGTGGTCACCCCCATGCTGAATCCCTTCATCTACAGCCTCCGGAACAAAGACATCAAGGCCACTCTGATAAGACTTATCAGGAAGAAAAACTAAAAGACACGTGACCTCCCTAGGATGGACGAACTGGAAGACATTTCAGATCTTGAAATCTTGGAACCCGATACTGTTTTTTTTTTTAATTTTTATTAGTGAAACACCATGAGGTACAGTTGTAGACCTACAAATTTTTGTGCTTGGGTTTCAGTTATACAATGATCGAGTACCCATCCCTCCACCAGTGCCCATTCTCCACGACCACTGATCCCAGTATCCCTCCCACCCCCTATCCCTCCCATCCCACCCTGCCTCTGTGGCAGGGTATTTCCTTTTGTTCTTTTTCTCCTTTTGAGTGCTGTGGTTTGCAAAAGAGGCATTGAGTGGCAATCATGTTCAGTCTATAGTCTATTTTCAGCATGTATCTCCCATCCTGGGAGGATCCTCCCAATACCCTTTATTTGGTGCTCCCTTCTCTATCTGAGCTGCCTTTTCCTCTAGCATGTGCTGCTGGCATCCAAGCCATGGAGTAAACCTCCTGGTACTTATCTCAGCTATTCTTGAGTGTTAGTCTCTTGTTTTGTTACTTTATGTTTCCCAGAGGGCTGGAGTGATAGCACAGCGGTAGGGCATTTGCCTTGCATGCAGCCAAATGGCCGACCCGAGTTCGATTCCTCCGCCCCTCTCAGAGAGCCCGGCAAGCTACTGAGAGTATCTCTCCCGCATGGCAGAACCTGGCAAGCTACCAGTGATGTATTCGATATTCCAAACCACAGTAACAACAAAGTCTCCAATGGAGACGTTACTGGGCCCGCTCGAGCAAATCGATGAACAACGGAAGGACAGTGACAGTGATGTTCCCCAGATGAATGCAATCGTTCTATATCTGTCCCTCTCTTTCTGACTCATTTCGCTTAGCATGATACTTTCCGTGTAGTACCACTTGTATGTAAATTCCATGACTACATCTTTTCTAACAGCTACATAGTACTCCATTGTGTAGATGTACCAAAGTTTCTTTAACCAGTCATCTGTTCTCGGGCACTCAGTTTTTTTCCAGATTCTAGCTTTTGTAAACAGTGCTGCATCCCCGTACTGTTTTGTAGCCAAGTATGAAATGAGACATACCTATTTAATTCTGTTGTTCCCATTACTTTGTGACTTTGCTTTAGAATCTGGATGGCCCATGTCATCAGCTTGCTGCTGCGTATAGAAGTCTAGTTTCTCTTTGTGTATTTGAATGTATTTCAAACCTTAGATAGGGTTTGGAAATTTAGAAACTTAGGAATTTAGAAATTCTGTTTTGCAAGGTTTGCTCCAGACTGAATGGTGGGTGGCAGATGAAGTAGTGACATTTCCAGAATCAAAGACTACCCTGCCCCAGTGCGGAAGACAGGATTTATGGCCTACCCAGAGACAGGAAGCCATCAGGCTGCATTTCTTGCTTCCTCACATAGACATTGCCCCCCGCCCCCCTCCCCAAGATAACAGGTCAGACCAAGCACACCGGTTCCACTGGTCTCTGTTCCCTTTTATGCCTAAGACAATTTAAAAATCCTTCTTCATCTTGACCTCAGCCTCATCAGAGTTTCATAAAATTCCACCTAGAGTAGCCTCTCCCTGGACAAAAGAATCCTAACTGATCTAGGTCTCCCTAGACAAGAAAATGCTAACTTCTTTGGACTACTTGACCTCTGAAATCACTGCCAGTGTGTGACCAGTGGGGAGAAATACCTTCTTTTTTTTTCTTTTCGGGTCACACCCAGCAATGTTCAGGGATTACTCCTAGCAGTGCTTGGTGGACCATATGGGATGCTGGGGATTGAACCCAGGTCAGCTGTGCACAAGGCAAACCCGCCCTACCCGCTGTACCATGGCTCTGACCTGAGAAATTCTCTCTCTCTCTCTCTGTCTCTCTCCTCTCTCTGTCTCTGTCTCTCTCTCTCCTCTCTCTGTCTCTCTCTCTCCTCTCTCTGTCTCTAGCCAGACTCCCCATCCTCTCGCATCCTCATCCTCATCCTCATCCATCCTGCTGTGCTTCCCTGCGCTTCCCCCCACTCAGAGGGGCCCAGGTGAGGTCCCCACCAGTCAGCTCTACTGAGCTTTTGCTACCCATCCCCCCCAACCCACTCCAGCTTCTTGGGGCCCCTGCCGGGTCTCACCTACTGTTCCTCTCTTAACACCGCTGGGCTGGCCACTACAGCTGCCACTCCCTCATCACTCCCTCTGCCACCAATTCCAGATTCCAGACCTGAGCCCTCCCTGTCACTGCCACCTGGAACCCCTTCTCTCTCCTAGGTTTATTGAAAGACTGCCAGCCACATGCTAGGAAAACAAGTGTTTTAAGTCCAGTAAAATCTGTGTTTTCCTAGAAATTAGAATTCCAAAGACAATGACTTGCCCATGATTGAGTTTGCCGGCTTCTATACAAACAAAAGCACTTTCTTGGGACCCATTTTTTTTGAAACACCATGAGGTACAGTTGTAGACTTACAAACTTTCGTGCTTGGGTTTCAGTTATACAATGATCGAGTACCCATCCCTCCACCAGTGCCCATTCTCCATCACCAATGATCCTAGTAACCCTCCCACCCACACACCCCATCCCCCCACCCCACCCTCTGTGACAGGGCATTCCCTTTTGCTCACTCTTTCCTTTAGAGTATTGTAGTTTGCAATAGAGGTATTGAGTGGCTATCATGTTAGGTCTATAGTCTACTTTTAGCACACATTTCGTATCCCAAGCGAGTCCTCCAAAATCCTTTACTTAGTGTTCCCTTCTCTATCTGAGCTGCCTATCCCCCTCAGCATATGAGGCCGGCTTCCAAGCCCTGGAGCAGACCTGCTGGTATTTATCTCAACTATTCTTGGGTGTTCAACTCCCATTCTGTTACTTTATATTCCCCAGATGAATGCAGTCCTTCTATGTTGGGACCCATTTTTCACGTTAAAAAAAAAAGCACAGAATAAAAGCTGGGCCAGGTTGAAAAACGTGGAGAAAAGTTCCCAAATCAGCCAACAGGGATATTTTTTTAACCTGGAGACTGCCCCTTCTTTCCCCCCTCCCCCCTCCCTCACCACCCCACCAGGATCACATAACAACTGAAACTCATTGATCGGACATGTATGTGCATCTATGTATGTGTGGGCGTCATCCCCTCTGTCTGTACTCAATTCGTCTGTTTTTCTGTGTGTGGAATGTCAGAGCCAGGTTGAAATCAGAAGCAGAAATCCTTACATCTGGGCAAGCTGCATCATCACGAGAGGTGAGAGTGATGTGCAACCTAGCAATGAAAAAAGTTTAGATGTTTTTGGACCTTGTTAGACGAGGATTAAACAAAGGTTTCTCATCAGAACGTGGGACCTACAAAGAAATCAAAATTCTCAATCTAAATTTCTTATTGGAAAAACGTAAAATGGTTCTTATGGCTGGCAGATAGGGAAGGCTCCCTCCCAAGGCAATGGCAAAGATTTCCTGGGAAGAAATAGCCCCAGAGTGGTGAGATCCTGATAAGACCCTCAGCAGCAAGCAGGGGAAAAAAACAGAAAAAAAAACCAGGAACACACCCTGAGGAGTTGGACCCCTACAGAAATGATGAACTTCAGCAAAGATAACAACACAATTAAGGACTTGAAAGAGATTCACCAGAAACTTCAAAGTTGTTCCATTGATACTGTATCTATTCAATCCCCACCTCTGTCAGAAAGCTCTGGACTAAGGCATCCTTAAGAAAATACATATGGGGCCGGAGCAATAGCACAGCGAGTAGAGTGTTTGCCTTGCACACGGTCAACCCGGGTTTAATTCCTGGCATCCCATAGGGTCCCCTGAGCACCGCCAGGAGTAGTTCCTGATTGCAGAGCCAGGAGTGGCCCCTGTGCATTGCTGGGTGTGACCCAAAAAGCCACCCTTCCCCCCCAAAATGGAATATACATAAAAAAGCAGGTCCTAAAGAACATTTCAAGGCTTCTCCATCTTTGGAGAAAACTGCACTCTCCCTTAAGTGTGTTACTCTTTCTCTCTCCTCCCCTTCAATCCTCCAAATAAAATCTGTTTTACTTCACTGCTTTTATACTCCTGATTTTTTTTTTCTTTTTGAGTCATACCCGACAATGCACAGGGGTTGCTCCTGGCTCTGCACTCAGGAATGACTCCTGGCGGTGCTCGGGGGACCATATGGGATGTTTGGAATTGAACTCTGGTAGAGCTCGTGCAAGGCAAATGCCCTACTCGCTTATGCTATCACTCCAGCCCCTACTCCTGAAATTTTTTTTTGCGAGCGAGACAAGAACCCCGAAAACCCTGGATAAGGCCTGGGACTGGCCTCTCCTTTCCTGCAAAGAGTAAATCCTTGCTCCAGCCTGAGTTTGTTCCCTGCTCCGAGGAATCAGATGGCAGGGATCAACTCCCTTGTCTAGATGATCAAGCGACTTCAAGTGTGGCCTGACAACAACCTCGTGGGACTGGTGGGGCTCAGGCCCACGCAGAGCAGGGACTCATCGCAGTCTTTACCAAGTCCTAGTCTTCCCAGCAGGACCTGGGTGGCAGAGGCAGATGGGGAGAAAGTGACCATCTTTCTCCTCCTGGCTTCACATAAGTCACCAGTGGGGTCCAACAACATCACTTAACACTTAAAATTCTTTTGAGTTTAAGAATCTGAACTATCTAGAAAGGGCTGTGGAACTAGAGCCCCAAAATGAAGTGAGATCCAACTGAAAAGCTATTTCAACCTTACCCTCCTGATAAAAACACCGAATGCCAGGAACAAACACCATGGCCTTAGCACCCGTATTGCAAACCATAATGCACAAAAGGAAAAGGAGAGAGAGAGCAAGAAGGAAAGTGATTCCCATAGAGGAAGGCTGGGGGTAGGGGGTGGGGTGTTGGGGAACAGGGGTGGGGAAAAGGGGAACATTGGTGGTGGGAAATGTACACTGGTGGAGGGATGGGTGCTGGATGACTGAAATCCAATTATGAACAGCTTTGTAATGATTTATCTCACAGATATACAACTAAAAAAATTTTAATGAAATGAGTTAAGAGCTTAGAGAATGCAAGA